TTCAGAACCAAATTAGAAAAATTAGACAGGTATGAGTGGATTAAAGTTAATTTTTAACATAGATCACATCCACTTCAGGGGCTTTCCAGTTCTCTGTCTTCTCCACAGCTTGATATACTGTACATTTGTATCATTTTATTCCCAGAGGACCATAAGTGATAGGCAGCTGTAGGCCTCTCATTCACATTCTTCTTCTTCTTCTTCTTATTCTTCTTCTTCTTCTTCTTCTTCTTCTTCTTCTTCTTCTTCTTCTTCTTCTTCTTACTACTATTATTATTGCTCATAGCTAGAAGGGATTCAGTGATAAGTATCCTTGGTGGGTCATTGTTTAATGATTAAGGTCATTATCCTGTTTAAATTACTGACAATTGCAGACACTGTTAAGTGGTGAGAGGACAAATATATACCTAGTCATATGAATGACAATGCTCCAATTAGCTGCCTCTGCTTCTCGGATTGCTGTTCCTTGTGCAGTGATTCAAACAGAAAACTGGCCTAGGAACCAATGATTTAAGCTCAAAACAATATTTCTTCCTTTTAATTTCAGATGTGTGCCACTGCTGATATTTATTTTTAAATTATACTCATAAACATGGCCTGTGAGTCTTTCACAAATAATGGTATCACAGAGCTTTGGGAGAGGAACTGTTCTCAGTAGTTAAGACTAGCTGTGGGTGGCATATGGGCACATGCAGTCTTTTCTTTGGCCTGGAGACGATCCTTGTACTTATGCTGGATAAAATCTATAGGTCCAACCAGAGCTGTGGTTCCAGAACTCCCCCAAACACTCTCCCCTTTGGAATATGTGCAGTAGGTGTGGCTTGTGGCCAGAAGAAGACAGGGGAAATTCAAAGAACCTTGTCTTCCATGAACCACTTGGTCAAGGATTCTACTATATTAGTAAGTGAAGAGCAAAGTGAGTTTTTATTCTGAATGGGACCATACAGGGAGGCCAAGGACCAAATCTGCTACTTTCATGTAGTTGTCACAATCCAGCTCTACCTTCCCACATTGGCTACCACATTTAAACACACACACACACATAATGTCAACGTACCCCATTTAACAAAAGCTACACCTTGTTTCGATTTTGATTCCAAAATCTTCTGAGTCTTCTAGTCACTTAAAAGAAATGCTGATTTTGCCTCTAAAGCACCGAACAACTTTGACATAGCCATCCCTTCATATAGTCCACTTAAAAAAATTGTTCATTCTCTTTTTTTGAAACAATTAAAATCTTCACTCCCATCTTCATCTTCTGCTACCAAATTAGTTGACAATTACTTCCTTGGGTGACTTGGGTGAATCAGAAGGTATGTAGTGCCAGATCCTGCATTCCTCATTAAGACAAAACACCTACTGAGTGTAATTAATGGTTTGTCTTAAGAATCAAACCTGGAGAGTCTGAAGTCTTCTTAAAAATGTGTCTCGTGATATGTAAATTAGTATTCCTATAGAGCTAACTCATATATACCTGTTTTTACAATTATCAGAAGTATGTATCATTAACTTGAAGGTAACACTGCTTTTTCAGCAGAGTTAGATTTTGGTTTCTTGTTGCTTTCTGGATAGCACCCTAAGTATTTGATGCCAAACTAACAATCCTCCTCTAAGTTAAAATCTGAATGAAATATATTTATTAATTGTGTTTCCATGGGAGTGGTCACCAGAGTATGATCTTGCCATGTTAGAAAGAAGAGCATTGTGAGTCCCTAATGAATGTATAGCTGGCCGAATAGCTTAGTGGCTTAGGTATCTGGCTGTAGAGCCAGAGGGTGGGAGTTCATAGCCCCACTGCGCCTTCTTCCCCATACTGCCAGCTTGTGTGGTCCTGGGCAAACTGCCCAGTCCTAGGGGCCCCCCAGAAGAAGGGAATGGTAAATCACTTCAGACTATTTTCTACCTGAAAACCCTGAAAAGGGTCGGCACAAGTCAGAATTAACTCTATGGCATGTGATTATTATTTAATGGCTGAAGAAACAATAGGGCAATGCACGTAAAATAAGTAAAATGTTTCAGGTCTAAACTTGATGAGGAACAATTCACAAAATTAGTAATTGAATCAATACTGCCAGGAGGAAGGGGAGATTGCCTTCAAACTTTACCCAGTGCTGAAGTCCTGGGCTATATGGGGTGTGTGTGGCTATGTCAAAGTTGTTTGGTGCTTTAGAGGCAAAATCAGCATTTTTAAGTGACTAGAAGACTCTGAACAGCTGAACTGTTTGTAGCCATGAAGCAGTCTTCAACAGTGGATCCATACGGATTACAAATGTTTTGACCAAGATTTGCAATATCTTCACTGTACTGATTAACAAAGAAGTAACCATGCAATCTGGTAAATCTGCTGGGCTGGCCAAAAGTGTCTGATTGGCTGAACTGGTGCAACAAATATATATGAACATGCCAACTGTGTGGGAGGGCAGAGAGATGTCAGAATTTTCACAATCCAGATTCTGTGTGGTAAGGGTTCCAGTCTCTGGTGCAGGGTGTACCTTTGTAGAGTAGGCTGAGATAAAACCTGGGAAGCTAGGGAACCAAAATCCAAACAAGGTGTAGCTTTTGTTAAATGGGGTACGTTGACATTATGTGTGTGTGTGTGTTTAAATGTGGTAGCCAATGTGGGAAGGTAGAGCTGGATTGTGACAACTACATGAAAGTAGCAGATTTGGTCCTTGGCCTCCCTGTATGGTCCCATTCAGAATAAAAACTCACTTTGCTCTTCACTTACTAATATAGTAGAAGGAAAGTTCCAGCTGCATCAGTTTCTACTGTAAATTCCAAAGCACAGTAGAGATTTCAAGGTTGGAACTTGATGGGGATAAGGGATTAAAGCCCCCTTTTTTCTCATGCTTTGATATCCATCCAACTCCCCACCTTAACCAGCTGTTTCTTAAAAGGAAACTGATGCTGCTAGTATGCCCTGTGTGATGTACCCATAAAGGCAGGAAGCCAAGAACAGGAAATTGATCTAAGTCATTGTGCATGACGAATTTTTCTATCGTAATAAGCAAGAATCTGTTGCAGTTTGTTCTGTATAAGCAGGTATTCTCCAGATTCTATGAAAATCTCAAATATCAAAAGCCTCCTTGGACAGTATGTTCTCATGCACCGATTGTTCTGCTAGTAACTCTATTGGAAGTTACAAAAGTGTGAAGTCTAGGCAGAATTGTGTTCTGTTACCACATAATGCTATAGCTGTAGAATATGTCTGTTAGATTTGTTCTTTATGGAATTAATTTTATTTTTATATTCTTGGTTTGAATGAAGATTCATCTGTTACGTAATTTTTGGAAAGATTATCTAGAAACAGGCTAAAACTCTCCCCTGTACATGATAAACCAATTGTGCGGCACTTTCAGTAACGTCCCTGACCGGGGCTATAAGAAGCGGTGTCTCTAATCAGGTCAGCAGCCTGGTGTTCAACTCACGCAGAAGACACAGTCAGAGAATAATTCCACATTGTGGATCGAGGACTGGCTGGTGAAAGAAGGATGGATTCTGCCATCTCTCTGATGTATTTCCATGCTGGCTGTGGCTAGGCAGAGCAACCTGTCCTTTCTCTGACAGGGACAGCTTGATTCCTATGCTGGTCATGAAGAAAGGCAAACCACTTCCTCCTATGGTGGGTATGGAAATGCTACTCCATGCTTTGTTCTCCTGCTTGTTAGAAGGCAAGGATTTTTTTTGCTCACCAGCTGAAGTATGGAAACGCAGACTAGTAGTGTTTCCACAGGCTAATTGAGCCGAGTATGGCATAGCTTTCTTGGAGCTATGCAACTGAATAAAACAGAAGGTGATCCAGTATAATTAAATGTTCCTCCATGTAAATAAAACAATAAAAGCAGCAATGTTTAACATAAAAATGTAAACATTGCAGCAGCAGCATGTGACACAATTAGCTGCTGAAGCATCTGATCAACCTCATCAGCATCTGATGAAGTGGGCGGCAGGCCACCAAATCTCATGCCAGATGTAGCTGGTTAAGTCTTTATGGTTCCACAAGACTCTGTGAAATAAGGCAAAGTAATGTGTGCATAGAAGAACAGAATGGCCGGCCAGGCCCTGCTCTTCTTTCTGACAAGGTTTTTTTTTTTTAATGTCCTGAGGCATAATTACATGAGGAAGCACCAACCATGGGATTCTGCACCCACAATCTGAAGTGGCCAGACCCTTGGAAGCCTATATCAGATGAAATTCTGAACTCTCCATGCTTAATGCTAGTGCTTATTTTCATAGTGAGACACATGAGGAAATGTACAGTTCCACACAGTGATGATACATTTTTAAAAATATTTCTGACATTGTCGTTACTGAGCTCTTGAAATAGAACTACGGTATTAAAATATAGTAAAACGTGGTTGAGAAAGAAGGAGTATTCAATATATTTGGTTTGGTTCACTAAATTTGTAGAGGAGGAATAATCAGTCTCTTGGCATAGCTATGCTGGTGCTGTATTACTATACTATAGCATCAGTAGCCTAAAGTAATACCTTAGAAACTGTATTACAAATGTGAGATATCCACTGTGCCAAGGGATGCTTAATTAAAGCTAGCTGTGAAGCCCAAAACCTTATTTTGTATTTATCTAGTGTGGTGTACTAAACTTACAACATTTCCCAAGGTTCACTTTTCTTCCTATTTCAAACAATTAGCAGGAAATTCAGCTTTTTATTTACCTCACCCGGCTTAACATTACGCTCATTAAATTCTTTAATATAACATTTTAAAGAGTCACTGTGCTTTACTAAGTCTGCTTTCTAATAGAAGCACTGATGTAAGTAAACATGTCTGTTTATTTGTTGAGTTTCCTGACATGTCTTTTGTGGCGTATTGCAGTGTTTTTCCAATTGTGCACATATAGTGCCCCTCAGATCAGTTTTATTTAAGGTAACTCATAGCTGCTCTGTCTTTTTCTTATTCTCATCCAGTGTAATTTTGCTTCATATGAGGTCCCCCAGCACATGTGGTTCCATAATAACAATTGCTTTGTTTCTCTTTAGAACTGGATACAAGAGAGTTAAGTACGCCAGGCTCAAATGTAACAATGTTTGTTCTCATATCTGGGATTATTGTTTGCATCGGTGTATTCTTTGCCATAATCTTCATCATTCTTAAATGGTAAGATGATATCCAGAGTGGTACTTAGGCACTAGATGGGCAGAGTATAAATGTAATTAATAAAATATATAATTAAATATTAGATTTTGAAATTGGAGTTGTATGGCAAACTAACGTTTACATATAACCTCCACAACCTCTGCTCCCAAATGTGTGTGTCTCATCAGGATTAGACATGGGATAATATGTGAATGCCAGAAGGCATCTATAAATTGTTCAAGTACAAATATAAAAACAAAAGTGCACACTCTGAATCTGGATGTAACTGTTATAAATAACTAGTTACTTGGGTTAATTCTTTCTGGGAGTAGCTAAGGCATAATGCTTTACACAACAATAACTTAATGTGATTGTTTCACTTATTTGGCAGGATAACCATAGTTTTTGAGGTTTTAGAAGAGGCAGCCATGTTAGTCTGTGCTAGTCTATCAGGAAAAAAAATAAAAATAATTATTTTGTTTTTACAGATATACAGTTTCCCAAGATATTTTTATAATAAGGGCATGGCCCCATTAATTGGTAGAGGAGGAATACTATATTCAAGAGTTGATTTAGTCTGTACTGGATGCTCAGCAATCACTGAGGTGATGATAATCTCATATAAAAATATATAAAATCATAAAAATTACGACTACAATTTCAATTTCAATTTATGTGAGCAGCTAAAAGCATCCAGATTTTTAAAAAGGAACTAAAAAGGACTATGTAGTTACTTATGAGAAATGGAAAAGTAAACAATTACATGTTAACAAAGTTAACTGTAACAGTAACTGATAGTTGCTGACTTGGGACAATAATTGTAACTGGTTCTAGGACCAGCCCTCTCTCAAACTGTGTTTTGTTTTGTTTGTGCTGCTGTGTACTGGGGTGAGGTTTAGCGCCATAGGCAAGTCCAGCACTGAAATGCTGAAGTCTGTGCTCTCCCTCTGATTAGAGGACACTGCTTCTTTGAAAAGGAGGAAGAAACATCTCTTGCTTTGGGCAAACATTTCTTACAATTCCCGCTCTTGAGCTTCGGATTCAGCATTGCCCAAAACCCATAAATACAAATATACATCCCTCTCACAGCTGCTTCTCACTGGCACTGCCCCCATGCCAGCTTGCTGGCTCCTCCTCTTCCTTTCCTCCTATTATTCTTGAAGTGATACATATCTTCACCTTTTACCAGCCCTTCCTTATTACAATCTGCAACAGACAGGATGGGATGAAGTATTTCTGAGGTGTTGACAGGAGCAGCAGCACCTTAGCACCAGACAGTTGGCAGTTAGGGAGGCCTAATCCCAGAAAAACACTGGGAAAACCCCATCACCAAGTGACAGAAATGGAAGTGAAATGAGGCGAAGTGGTGAGGGAGGGAGACAGAATCTGAAAGAGCCCTCAGCAAGACGATTTGCTTTGCTTGCGGCAATGCCCCACCTCAGTGGGTTCTTGTGGACGTGGAAAGACTCCTCCCTGACAGCCTGGAGAGCTATCACCTGTCAATGTGGGCAGTGGTGATCAAACTGGACCAGGGGTCTGACTCAGTGGCTGAAATTGTGTTAGTAAGTCACACTAGAGTGGGCCCACTGACAGGTTGACTCCTCTGTAAGTTCCATAGATTCTAGTTGAAACTTGCATGTGAAACTGGGTAGGCCCATTTACTCAGTGTGTCTACTCTAGTGTGATTTACTATGTGCACCAACAGGATTTCAACCAGTAAATGGTAGCTTTTTATTTATACTGCCCACTTAGATTGTTCAAAAGTGAGATCACTGCTTATCGTGTACGCATCCAAACCCACTTTCCCCTCTGGTAAACAGCATTTGAAGAGAAAAAGCTTTTCAATCAGATGAAACACTGCAGTGGTGGGAATTGTGTAGCCTCCTGTCTACCTGATTCTCTCACAGCACTCCATCTGCACCCAGTTTTGAGGGTCTAGAAATGGACATCTGCATCCCAAGAAGCTTTCAAGAGGTGCAATGGTCAATGCTAATGCTATTTCATGCCTCTGCAAAAATTGAAAGTCAGCTTCCTGCTTCTTCTGTTCGTGAAAAAAGTGGGCAGACGTGGCCCATGGAGCTCTGAGGTAAAGCAAAAATAAGCACCTGGACCTGTAGTGTTTGCTCACCCTTATGAGGGGGAAAGTATATATCTCGGGAGTGATGCTTAACTCAGATCATGTTTCAGTCTCTTGAAAATCATTGGTTGTTTCCTGATCTGCTAAGAATGACCTGAGCTCTTGTTAACTTTGCCTCATTGGTTGTGATCTGTCTTTTACAGGACTGCTGTAAAAGCCTTCTGGCAAACAAAACTTTGCAGAAGCAGAGAAGAACCAAGCTTGATTACAATGAGAACTTCCTCAGGGCAGATATCCACATCAGATAATTTACAGGTCTCACAAACAGAATTCACCGCACATGAACAGGTTTCCTATCAGGAATGGAATGAGCCATCACAAGGAGGAGGAGGAGGAGGAGGAGGCAGTAGCGAGAAGGGAAATTTTTAAGAAAAAAATATTTTAAACCAGAGAGGGAATACGTATATTAAACTATGGTCAAAATAGGAAGAGTACCAGTTCCGAGAAGAGCTTTTTTGCATCTCTGATGAATCTTGTTTGGGAACATTGGGATAGTCGTGTGAAACTGACCTGGCCAAATTTTAAAGACTGATTTCTGGTGTTAAAATTAATGTGGTTCATCCAGGGGGTTCTGCCTCTTGATGTTTTTTGAAAATTGAGGAGTGAGATGTTTTAATGAGGTCCTACCAAACTTTCACAATAAATATACTGACATGTCAAATCTAAACATTTATGCTGGTGCATCTTTGTGGGATATATTTCCTGGATAGTGAGACTGGTAGGAGAGCTATTGGCACCAGAGAAGGGCATGAATTGTTGATTGGTTTATTGGCTGGACAGGTGTTTGGCCCTGCCTCCTCCAGAGGGGGCCCAATCAGAGGCAGTGCCCAGAGGAGGTGGGGCAGAGAAGCCAGAGCACTGCCTCTGAGTAGGTACCCTTCAGAGGAGGCAGGGGTGGGAAGCGCTGAAAGCCTGTTTAACCAGTAAACAAACCATAATGAACTGCCAAAAGCGGTGGTTCATGCCCATCTCTAATTGGCATCCAGCACTTTAAGAGAGTCTTACTCATCTTGGCTGTGCACATTGCAACCCAGCACCGACTTTTGTAGACTTTAGACTATGACCCCCATGCCCACTTACAAGGGGATAAGCTCCACTGAAGTGGACTTGTCCACCAAAGTTCACATTAAAATAAAGTCATTAGGCCTTATGGTGCCACAATGTTTTTATCTTCTTTATTTTTTTATTTTTTATTTTGGTTTTGAGGCACTTTTGAATGGACAGGTATAGGAGTATTCTGTTAGGCCATTAAAATCAGTGGGCCTTATTCATTTGTTTGTTTGCCGCCTTTCTCCTCATAGGTGAATCAATGCAGCTCACGAAAGGTAAAATTATGAAAGAAACACAGTTTAAAATACTACAGAGTAACTTTTATTGAAGTGGTCTTCAGATATACAGTATACAAAAACCCAAAGACTCCCAGCCAATGGGTTAAAGGACGGATTTCAAAGTCACTAAATCAGATACATAAGATTCCATTAATCAAATCCTCATTCTCAAATAGACCTCCAATTACGTCTCTGACACACATTCCTTTTTTTCTTCCTCTTTCTTCCTAAGAGAGGTTGCCTTAACAGCGAAAAGGGCAACCCTCTGTGTCATGTATAAGGTAGATCCACTCAACAGAAGGTCCAGTTTCCTCTCATTATCCCATGTCCTCATCCTATTAAGAAAAGGAGCAAGGGAATGTTCTCTAATGTTGTCATATAGCTGACAGTGCAACAGATAATGTGAAACTTTTGTCTACTCCACATGGGCAGAGTCTATTTTGGATGGGGATATCCAAAAATAGACCCTGTTGAATCATTGTATCAATTTCTTCGAAGCCGAGACGAGTGAAGGCCACACGCAGGACCCTTTTCATTTTAAAAGACAGACATTTTTCTTCCTGCAACTGACACTTGGACCTTGCCAGCCATTCCCTAGATCTCATTGATGCCAAGTCTGCTAAATCTACCTAAGCTCTAATATCTAAAAATTTTGGTTTAAAAACATGTTATATTTTTAATATTTAAAATACTATATAAACATCATATTAAAAATTAAGCGCACATACTTTTGCATTAGATTGTGTCATTGATATTTATCTGTCTCTATGGAGATCGTTCTTTAAGTAGGGTCATTAAGGACAGTGGACTTTCTCATTTAGAGTAGAAACGATGTGATCTCAGGGCAGCCTTCTGCAAGGACCACATATAGGGGACATGCTATGAGGGACAAAGAGCATTCCTTCCTTCTCTAAACAGCAGCAGCTAAACCTGCTTGCTTACATTTGTAATGCACTTGCAAATGGCAGGGTTTTACATAAAAAAGGAAAGTTTCTGCTAGCCTTTTTAAAAAAGAGAAATATCAGATTGTGAGCCTCTTTTAATGTGTTGCTCTAAAAATGGTAAATATATAATGATAGGCAAAGGAAAACATTTGGAAAAAAAGGGAATAAGCAACAGTAAGTGCAAAATCCCAACTCCATATAATGAGGTGACTCAAGTCACCAGGTGAATACTGTTACCCAATTGGGCCTATTAACTTTTTCTGCCTAGTGCAATGGTGCAAACCTTCAGATCTGTTAAGGTGGAGTTCACCTGGTGGATACTTGATCTCCACCTAAGAAGAAGCCACAAGCTTGAACCAGGACAGAGGCAAGCCTAAATTCACAGCTGGATTTTATTTTGCAACAGGGGGATGGTCTAACTTCATTTCTTTTCTCTCCACCAGACAAGGGGCTACAGCATGCTGCAGTTCAACATAAATTGGGGATCAGAAAGGCACATGTAAATATTTCATGTTTCTTGCCCTCTGTCACAGCCAGGATAGGTTGGGGCGTAGGTCACCTCTCCTTTGACATTCTCCCCCTTTCCCTTTCTGCATTTCACTTCTCCTTTGCCTTTTGTAACATCAAGTCAGAGGACGGTGGACAAGCCCTGAAAGTTGGGCTATCACTTTGACGCACAGGTTGAAATCCAGTAGGAAGCTGAAATGAGAATAGGTTCATTGAATCAATGGAACACAAAAAGGAGTTGACTCAATCCCCATTCATCCACTGGGCCTACTTACTACTGAATTTCATTCATAGTTCACATTTTGGGCTTTTGTTTATGAGTCAACTTGCCTCTCCATGCTCTGCAAAAAGCAGCAGTTTATGGAATTAAGAGGGATTCAAAATAGATCTGGCATTGAAGACGGTCCGGCGACTGCAACTGGTCCAGAATTGAGCGGCGCGGCTGGTGAGTGGTGTGGCCGCCAGGGAACATATCAAGCCGATTCTGTATAGGTTACATTGGCTACCAGTTGCTGCCCGGGCCCAATTCAAAGTGCTTGTTTTGAAATATAAAGCCCTAAACGGCTTGGGCCCTGGATACCTGAAGGACCGCCTCCTTCCATATGAGCCTACCCGGCAGTTAAGATCTAGCCAGGGGGCCCTTTTGAAAGAGC